ATATATAAGAAAGGGTTAGCTCGGATATGATCTGGGAAAAAGGATCAGAACGACCTAAGAAGGGGCCCTAAGAGAATTCTACAAAATTGGACAAGTGGATCTCGTATCTGATATAGAATTCTAGAATCGTATCCATCTAGGAAACAAGATTTATTCAAACCTCTTACCTAATACAAGGTAGCTTAGAGAAAATGTAATCTCTCTATAAAAAAAGAGTCTCCAGGTTCGTTGTGAGCTTAGGTCGTTCGGATCCTTTCTCCCAGATCATATCCGAGCTAACCTTCACCAAGTTGGCACACCGAGCTATAACGGGTGCTATATCACATTTAGAATCTAATTCCCACACTAAAAAGTTACAAATGGAAATTGCTATTGAAAGACCTTTGTTTCCTTTTTAGTTTTTACTAATTAAATAGATTGTCCATTATATTTCTTTTCTTTTATCAGACGACACATATATGGGAAGAGATCCCCAAACATCTCCATATAAAAAAGAGTTACAATTTTTTTGTCATCTGAACTATCACGAATTTCATAGCTTGACATATCAATTACTTTTTTTTTTAGAAAAAAAATCATACGAGCTCTATGTTTATTTCACTTCGCCATGAGAGACAAAGCTTGACGCGTCGTCAACGAGGGTCGTTCACTGAGACAACGATGGCAGACGCGTTTTTGGTGCCGATCGCCTCCATGATCGCCGACACGGCCCGCTCAAGCAACCAGCGAATGGCCACACCATCGGATTTGTGGCCGAGCTCCTGCGTCAGTGGATTATGTGGGCTGCACATACAGCCGTCATCCGAACCCAGGGACGGCGACGACCCTTTACCTTCATGTGCCGGTCCTTGCTCGACCATTCGGTTGGCAGTCGTTGTCTCTAGGGGTGGGGTAGTGGCGTGTCTGGAAGATCTGAAGTCCCGATGCAATTTCATTGTATGTATTTTTATTTTTTTAAATACATGAAAGCCCTAAAAAATGGGTTAGTAGTTGAGAATTTGGCAAAGAAATGGTGTTTTGTTATTGTAAGTTCTGAGGTTTAGCAGCAAATCGATGAACCTTCTTTTGTTATCAGGATCAGACATCAAAGAGATAATTAAGGGAAGTCTGTCTAAGTATACTAAGATTAGTTTTGATCATTTTGTTTATCGGTTAATTCTTATGCATGTTTCATTATGGCAGGTCAAAAGAAAAGATCGTGAATCACTCCATTTATGATCACCTTCCATGTGCACTTACTTACCATAAGCGCGAGATCCAAATTGAGCAACCTGGACTTTCCATAATATGACATGACTTGGCTGGAAAGCTAGAAAAAGAACTTACCATATGAAGGATGAGGATAAAAGGACGACAAGAACATTTTGAGGAGTACTTTTTTTTGACATTCTCTTTTCTTAAAAAAGATAGTTTGATGTATCAGGCATCTGGGATTTTATTTATTTTCTTTGAGTGACTTTTGTAAGTGAGGGTGATCATTGTTGAGAGGAAAAATACAGAGTGTTTGGAGGTTCACTCTGTTTTTAGTTTGAGGGATTCAAACGTGAAAAACCACAAGGGACTTGTGGTTGGATAAGTAGTATTGCACTTTATTGTTCAAGTAGAGTGTAGAGGGAGTCTATACTGTAAACCCTAGAAGAATGAGTGAGTTGATTGCATTAATGAAAGAGATCCGAAGGGAAAGCGGGACGCTTTCCTAAAGGTTCAATTTTCAGTGAATCTGCTTCCGCAATTGTTTGAATTTTCATTTAATTCAGTTTGGTTAAATTGTATGCAACTCTGGTTATTTGGCTTATAAGTATCAAACCTCAGTTATATTTGAAAAATCTAGAAATATGTTATATTTGGGTACTATTGTAATATTTAAAAATTTTACAATTCCCAAAATGCCCTTGTAAATTAGTTTTTTGGTAGAAAACAACTTTATTACAATTTTGGAGAGCAAACCAAAAAAAAAAAAGTAATTTATATGGTTGTTTGCTACGATAAACTTAAACTGGCCGGGACAGCTGGGTCAACCCGGAACCAACCTGTATGTACGGGTCCTTGAATCGGACCCGTGGTAATACCAAGCCGGTTTCGAGTCTTAATTTTTATTTTAAAACCCGTTGGTTCCAGGTCAGAAGATAGGTCTGGATGTTTTTTGGCATTGTTTTTTATTTTTTTATGAAAATAATAGGCGGGTCAAGTCGGACCTTACATATAGCAGGGCCGGTTTTGGGGCCATGTTTTGTGGCCCGGCAACCCGCCGGGCTGGGCCGGGTGATGAATCGGCCGACATTTGGACACGGCTAGATAAACTGCAAATTTTTTGTAGTTCCGATGATTTTTTTTTTTTAACCCTATAAAAACGAAGCATAATGTTATGAAGTTCCACCTGCAGCAGCCAGCATCTCTTCCTCTTCTTCTCAGGTGTTTTGCCGCCCTTTTTTTTTTTGGCGAAATTCCTGTAATTAGCTTTTCTCTTTCCTTGATTTAGGTCTAACTTAGATGCCACTGAATGTTCGAGTCGTAATTAGATGCATGAAAAATCGTAAGATCGTGTCTTTTTCCCCTTTAGAACATATTCAGATTGTTATCTTGATTGTAGTTTATGCGTCAGATGGACGTCGGAACTTCTTCCTGGCAGCAACATAAAGCTGACGATCCCAATACACGAAACCGGAAAAGAAAGCGGAAGCACAAGGAATCTGGGTGGAATTTTCCAATTTTTCATCCTATACATATTTTTGTGGTAGATTTGTACATATTCTCTGACTAGAAATATGTTTACTGCTCCCTGTGCAAATCTGTGTTCTTGGCATTAATGAAGGAATACATGTATGCAGGGAGTTGATAATGATGTTGGGTTTAACAAATTGCCAGATGACATAATAATTACCATCCTTTCCCGTCTCAGTCCCAAGGAAGCCGCCAGGTCGAGTCTCCTCTCACGCAGATGGAGATACTTGTGGTTTTGCTCTTCCGGTATCCTTCACTTTGATGACCGCAAAATGTTCTCCCATGACCTCCAAATGTTGAAGTTGAAGTCCGACTTCTATGAAGAAATAGATGTTCGGGAAATACGCGACATACACAAAAAAATTGTTGCTAGAAAACAATTTCTGTTCAGAAAATTCGTTGCCTGGGTCACTCGCGTCCTGAAGCTGCATCAATGCCTCACTCTGGACGGCCTAATCATACACTTCAGTACATCGCGCGACAAATCCCCTTTCGGCCGCCGTTCGGGCTACATTGACAGCTGGATATATTCAGCAATGAGAAAGGAAATAAAGATGCTGGAATTGAATTTCCCGGGATACCACTATGAATTCCCGAACCTCGAACTATTGTTATCATACTCGCCTCAGAAGTTTGGTTTTGGGTTGCTAAGGACCCTTAGATTGGAGGGTGTTGATGTCGAGGACAAGGTGGTTAGGCATTTTCTAGCCTCGTGTCATTATCTCGAATGCCTTTGCACAAGGAAATCCGATGCCACCAAGAGACTGCGATTCGTGGATCCTTTGCCGAGTTTAAAAGTTTTGGAGATTTCAGATTGTTATTTTATCAGGAAACTAGAAGTTTCTGCCACGAGTATTGTCTCATGTACGTACAATGGATTGGATACCGTTTTTCCATTTGAGAAAGCCCTGAATCTGTCCGAGCTGACTCTTGGTCGTGAATTTGCCGAGTTCTTTATTTACGAGCCTTCCCAGCACACGAGTTATTCGGCCCAGCTGGAGAAACTAACATTGAATATTCACGAAACAGGGGTTTGATTGTCTTACCCTTATTTTGTTGCTCGCTTGTATGAAATGGAAAACTAGTCTTACCAATTATGAAATGTGCTTTTTTTTTTTTTTTNTGCTTCAGTTCCGTTGCCCTCAAGAATCCGGACTTCCTCCTCCTGATTTGTCAAAGCTATGCTCTCTCAAGCATCTGGAGTTGAATGTTATGTCCACCATTAAGAGCATATACTTCTTCATCTCATTGATTAAGGCGGCTCCTTTATTGACCGAATTCAGGATGAAGGTGAGTGCAATCTTCACAACTTGATGATTCGCATGTTCTTTGTTTTGGTTTAGGTTCTTTTGCTGTTGCTTCAGCTAGTACTTTGTCCCCCATTTGGATTTGAACTTTACTCCTTTAAACTCAGATGTTATAATTACAAAAACTTACTGGAGACTTAGTCCGATTACAAAATAGTACGCCAAAAAAAAAAATAAATAAATAAATAAATCCTAACATTTCTTACAAGTACAAATACCGGTATTCTTATTGTCTAACAAGCTCCCCCTCGAGTGTACAGTTTTTCATGTGAAATAAATAGAACGACATTCGCACTTCTTTCTCATTTTTTTTCTCTTCTCTCCTTTTATTTTCTCAATTAGTTCAGTACTTCTGTTGTTAATCATAACTACTAACTAATGCCTAGTCATGTGAACGGGATACATAAAAAATGAAATAATGTTACTACATAATATAATATTTAAAATCAGGGGTTATCTAATGCCTAATGGTACCTAATGCCTTCTAAGATTTGATCGTTATATTGATAACTTAAGTCTGCAACATTTATTAAGTAAAGGGTTGGAAAATGGCGTTTACTACTATGTTATGAATAGCCTGTTCATAATAATAATAATACATATGCACTACACACACACACACACACACACACACTGGTCTTTACTTGATAGTATGGATGTTTAGAAACAGTCATCTGTTGATGTCTTTAACCACAATCTCCAATAGATGAAGAGTTATCTTCGTCATTCCTATATTTTGTCCAACACTTGGTTGCATTTTAGTGCAAACAGCATATGCGATTGAGGACATAAGCATAATCGAGTTCTTACAGCTATTTATTTTTTTTCTCTTCTAACGATTCACTTATGCTTGACTTGCAAACTTAATTTTCTTGTCGCAGATAACCTATGTCAGAAAAGGCCAGTTGTATCTGGTACTTAATCTAACTGTTTTATTCTTTTAGTAATGTACATATATGTGTGTATTTTATTCTTTTTGCCTTTTCTTCTTATTTGACAAGTTGGCTCTTCATTCATGACAGAATGGTGAATTTCCTGAAGTGCTTCCAGAATTCCACCGCTATAGATGTCGTCACAAAAACCTAAAGACGGTGAAAATAAGTGGGTTTATTGGGTGCTCGTATGACAACATGTTTGTATGTCAGTTACTTAAACTTGCTAAAAATCTGGAAACAATAACAATTGACACAGAGAGCGAATACTATAGAAAAGAAAAGCCTTGTAAATGTGCTGCCAACAACTCCCTGAAGGAAAAGTGTGTATGTGTTTTGTTAAAGAGGCGTAAAAAATGGACGCAGGCAAAAGCAATAAAGCGTGCCCAACGTTTGAAGTCCCGTTATTCTGGAAAGGCGGTATTTATCGTGACATGATAATGTGCAGTTTTTGAGCAATTTATTGGGGTCCTTGTGTGCTCATGCTGTGAACAACAGATAGGTCTTTATTTAAGTTAAATTTTAATGTTTCATAGAGATAAACATCAGATAGGTCTTTATTTAAGCTATGTCTTTATTTTAGTTAATTTTTAATGTTTACTTTATTTAAGTTATGTCTTTATTTTAGTTAATTTTTAATGTTTCATAGAGATATTTCATGGTGAACATCAGATAGGTCTTTATTTAAGTTAATTTCTAATGTTTCATAGAGATATTTCATGGTTGAATTTGGTCTTCTGTTATATATGCTTGATTGTCCTATTTTTGGGTTATGTTGCATATTATTGTTGGTTAAATATATATCTCACATGTCTAAAATAATAGACAGAGAGCAATACATATAACATATGTGTACTTTCCAGCAATAAACCTTATAAATCACATAGTAAATCAAAAAGGAAACAAGAAAACCAATAATTCGTGACTCGTGAGAAGAACATTGAAGCTATCTCTCCAAAAGCTACAGTCTACACAAATGTAATAACACCACACACCATCTTTCATACATTTTTCACCAAATAGCAATATGCTTATAATAATTAAGGAAAATAAGCGAGGAAAAAAAAAAAATTAAAGAAAGCAGTCTCAGAGAAACAGAAAAAGAAAAACACATTGTTGATCCTCCAATACAAACACCTTATCATTCAAATTCAAACAGTCCTAAACTAAACCAAAACACCAACCAACCACACAACAAAAACCAACCATCCTTCAGCCGTGCGTGTTCACAGCCTCCCACAACAAGTTCTTACTCACAGGCGACGAGAAGTCCCTGGCTTCAATCGCCGCCGCCCTCAACGTCCTCAGCGTCCACCTGTTCGCCTCATAAAACGACAAACTATTATACGGCAAGTTATGCTTCTTACAAAGCTCCTGCACCACAGGCGACACGCTCCTGAGGTGGCACCTCGGCAACCTCGGGAACAAATGATGCTCCAACTGAAACTGCAGCCCTCCAAAAAACCAATCCATCCAAATGGAGCACGATATGTCAATCGTCCCACTCGTCTGCTTCTCGAACCAGTCGTTCCCCTTGGGCGCCCCCACGTAAACATCCGCCGCGAAATGGTTGAGGCAGAACTGCACGTGCTGGATCGAGCAGACTGCGAAGCTGGCCAGCACGAACAGAACCCGTTCAGTCCAGTCTGGCAGGCAGGAGACGAGCATCGGGAACCACGTCCAGAAGACGAGGATACCGAGTATGTTGAGCGTTCGGTCGGGAACTTTTCGGTTTTTGGAGCAGAGGAGGAGGAAGGTCTGGAGGTAGAGGTTGACTCTGGCGACTATCATGATCGGGTAGAATGTGACGTGCTGGTAGCTGACTAGCAGACGGGCGAACGAGTCGAACGAGAGCTTGCGATTGTAGAAACGGGAGGTGATTGAGGAGAAGAGGCGTGACGAGACGGCTAGGACTGGGAGGTGCTGGAGGTCCGGGTCGTGGTCGAGACTGTTGCACGCCACGTGGTGGGCGTTGTGGGTCCACTTCCACCACGCGATCGAGATGCCCGTCAGGCAGTTGCCAGTCAGGATCTGCGCCAGCTTGTTGTAGCCCCGGGTTTTCATGATGACGTAGTGGCCCGAGTCGTGGCCCAGGTACGTCACCTGCATGCAGCATTTCGTCGTGGAATTTAGTAAAGTTTCATAACTTAACAATTTGATTTAATAGTTTACTGGGCTCTACCTGCATCCAGGCGAGGCCCAAGAGAGCGCCGGATGCCATGTGGGCCGCGAAGCTGTCAGAGTAGAGGACACCGTACACGCAGGCGGCAAACAAGACGGAGATGAAGCAGAGGGAGTAGATTACGCCGTGGCCCTTCTTCTCGAACATGCCGGACTTCACGAAGCGGTTGACGAGGGTGCGGTAGTCCCGGGAGACTTCGGAGACGCGGAAGTCTTGGAGGTGGAATCCGGTGAAGAAGCGGTCGAGGTGGGCCCACGCGGAGCCCGGGTGGAAGGCGATGAAGGCGTCGGTCACGTCTTGGCCGGCGAGGTTGAGGATGGGGATGTCTCCGCCTGGGTGGTCCTTGAGCCAGCCAGACACGTCGTAGACCTTGCCCTGGATCGAGAGCCACGCGTCGTCGGGTTTGTTGTGTTTCTTGAGCTCGTCTGACGTGATGTACTTCTTGTTGCTCTCGTCGGCCGCCATTGTGAGAAAAGGGAAAACGAAAAAAGGACCCCCTCCTTTAGAATGATGAGATTGTGGATGTATGTGAAGAAGGGGGGATTTGGGATCGGGGGAAAGAGAAAAAAAGNTTTATGGTATAAAGTAGATGATTTTATATTAGTATGAAATGTCTGAAATTAAATTGTATGATATTTATGTGGTATGGATAGAAGTATATTTGAAAATTTGGAAAACAAAATAAGTGGTATGAATTTTATTTGGTACGAGTATGAAAGTCGAACTTTAGGTTGATTTGTTATAAAATTAAGATGATATGATTCTTAAATTTTAGCATGTTCTAATAAGAACTTGTCATAAAATCTTGATGATAATTTGACAAATTGAATTGTATTCCTTTTGAAAATCAAATCGTGATTGAATAAAATATTTGATATTAAAATTTATAATTTGTAATTTAATTCTAACAAATTTGAAAGAAAAAGTAACCAAGAATAAGTCTAAGAAAATTGCAAATTAGCTAAATGTATATGAAATATATAATGGAGATTTTTTGTGTTGTTCAAACTTCTATCCCAACTTTAAAATACAAAAACTCAAACTATTGTATTTTTTAGGACAAAATATATATTTTACTGTCCTTTTGCGGCATTTATGTTTATTGTAAAAAACAATTAGGAACAATTTTGTGATTGATTTCTTACCAAATATTCATGCCTATAAACATTGTAAGTGCCCCAAAACCAAATCCCCTTATATATTTTAGAAACGTGCAAGCCGTGGTGAGTATAATTGACAGACTTGCACACTTGATCCAAATTTTAAAATTACATATAAAGTTTAAACCTTAAAGTTAACAGTGAAATAAGGGCTGATGGGCACTTAATTTAATTAGACATCTAATTAAAGCGAAGAAATTGATATTCATTTTCTTATTATTCAATAAGCATTATATATTAATGTATATACATATCATCATATTTTTTCTATTTATTCGAGACATAAAATATTTATTTAATTTTCTTTATGTAACTACAACAAACATCCTTAGTAGGAACGACTGAATATTGTGCCTATAACCATCAAAATCGCGTCTATTAACATATTGCAATGAAATGTCGTTGCAAAAAAGTCGTGCCAATAGACGTGTGTGTATAGATCTATTGGAACGCTTAAGTCATTGCTATAAATGTAAAAGTAATAGACACAACCTTTGTCGTGTCTATTTCTTGTCTAGTGGTTCCATGATTTTTACTAATAAACCACAATCAATGTTGTGCCAATATTGTTGTGCCTATTCGTCAAATTAATTGAAACGTCAAATTGTTCCAATTCTTGGGTTTCTATAAACATTTGGAATCATAAATTTTTGTTTCAAAAAGTGCATTTAAAGCAATAAAAGTATTGCAGAAATTCTATGACCTATGTCAAATTTAACCATTGAAACTAAAATGAAAGTAAAATAACAAAAACGGAGCTAAAGTATTTGATTCACCAATCAAGTAGATTCAACCAAATTATTGTAACCAAACAAATATATGTTCAATTGGTTACTTGGGTTCAAAGAAAAATAATGAGAAGGCAAACTGAAGTATAATAAGTCTCATGTTAACTTTACAGACATGAGAATCAAGCATGTTTATCTCTGTCACTAAAGCCAAATCTACATTGCCCTCTCACTTATTCTCTTTCACATCACCTTCGGTCCCAACTTTTGCCAATTGTTTGGACATCCTTGCATGCTGTAACACAAATAAAAATGAAGATGACATCCTTGCAAGCTATAATACAAATAAAAATGAAGATGACATTACAAATAGTCTAGTGTTATAAGGAACAAAAACTATAGAATTATAATGAATAAAAATGAAGATGACATCCTTGCATGTTTCTTAATTTAACATCCTTGTATCAATATTACACAAGTGTTATATTAGTAAATTTTTACGCATAACTTTTCTATCATAACTAGTACAGAGCCCGTGCGATGCACGGGATGCATAATTTTAAGGCTATTTATCCAGACTTATAATTAAATGCATGAATACAGAAAAATGTACGGGATATATATATAGTACGTGACCCATGCGAGACATGGGATATATTTATTTGAGGAATACTATATTATAAGATGCAATATTCAATAAAAATTTTATAATACGCAGAAAAATTGTACAATAAGATAGTAGTCGACAAACAAACAATCATATATTATTAAAGACCTCCTTGTACACAACATTATGAGTTTGATTTTCCATACAATAATAATAAGATTTTTTGTAAAAAGATAAGAAAGAATTTTCAATCTACACAAACTTTAAACATTAGATGTGTTTACTTAAATCAATGGCTATATAGACAACTAAACCCTTCAATTTAGGCTTGACATCTACTTTATTTATGGGTGACGTAAAATAAGGATTTAATTTTGACCCATTAAATCTTTATTCATAGACTTGACATATAAAACTGATTTGATGGGATTTTCTTAACTAAACCGATTTTATGGGATAAAACAAATCTATACTTACCTTTGACTTTTCCAGCAAAAGGTGAAAAAATTGGTTCTGATTTTTATCCTATAACAAATCTTTAATGTCAAGCCTATAAATACCAAAACAAATTTGTAATTAATATCATTCTATTTCCAGCAAGCATTAATTACCTTTGACTTTTCTACCTACTATTTCTAGTAAATAAGATGGCTTTTTATATAAGTATAAATTTCATATAATGCAAAGACTGAGATCATAAAATAGAATCCTAAAAACTGAAACAATATATTTGCATAATTTAAGGCCATTAAGAAATCGATCTCTAAATCAGATTTGATTTTCAGAATATGTTTTTTTATTTCGAATTCCATACAAAATGGAATTCTTTCCAACCAATAGATGTCATAGCAAATATTAACTCTTAACTATTAGACTATTAGTACATACCGAGCAAATTGTGTACTGATTTTAGAAAGTTAAAATGATTCATGTTAGGTAATTTTACATTTTATGCATGTTGAACGGTGGGTTTTAAATATTGTTTCATAGAATGTAAAAGTGTATTATATTATTTTTATGAGATGTTGAATTTGAAAATTAATAGAACTCTTCTTCATATGAATTTTAAATGTAACAATATTCTTTGGTATACACTACTAATAAAATCTATATTTAAAGTTTATATTTTTTTTTACCGGAAAAAATTCCTTAATTTAAGGAATCATAGATCTTCAATCAGTCCACATCTATATACATTCTTCACAATTTTAAATCTTGAATTTGATGAGAATTCGTATCTATGAGTGCAAAATATGGTTTAACAAATTAATTTTTTATTATTATTCAAGCCATACTTCTTTATACAATTTTTTGTGAAAATACAAAAGTAAATTCTTAATTTTAAATCAGCCGTACATTAAAGAGTACAAATTTGTTGAAATTACAAAAGTAATTTTTTACTTTTAAACAGACGTAAATTTAAATCAATCATAAAAAGATAATATTTATTTACCATTTAAGGGCAACATTTAATGTTGCTCTATTTTTAGGAGACATTAAATGTATTTAACGGGAAAAACTTGCTAAAAATGTTAAATGGTTAATCTTTTAATATAATGATAGATATACTCATCATTGATGAATCACAAACTAGAATTTATTTATTATTGATAATTTACTATAAGAACTATCATGTAGTATTAGAATTTACTTATTGACAACTTATCATGAGAATATAATTACTTGTCAAAATTTACTTTTATAGACCTACTTATAGAAATTAACCTATATGGTCTTTCAAAATTTACCCATAACTCGTGTGTATTTTAAAATTTTGCCGATCTTTAACTTGTGCCATAATTGATTATCACAATTTGAAACATTATTAAGTTTGAGAAATAATGTCTTGTGCAATTTTAGTAATCAAATTATCTAATTTTATTAGTTTTGGAAAAAAATATTTGGATATAAAGGCTTATTGGATTGGATAAAACATTTATATAATGATTTAATTATGGATGGATTTATATGATATTTATATAAAATTGTACTTATAACAAAAAGTTTTGTAACACAAATTAAATATATATATATATATATATATATANTTATATATAATCCGCCAAAAAATCTGTATTTCAATATTAATAAAAAAATATTTTATTATTTAATGTCTTTATTTATATTTAGACATAAATCCAATATAAATAAGATATATAATTAATAAAGTAATGTTTTATTGTCCACCAAGTCAAATCTTAGAATAAGGAAAGAAGATTATATGAAATCATAAAAGATCAATCAAATCGATGTTGTACGGGGTATCGACTGAACAAAAGAAATTCAAATTAAATGGGAAATTCTATCCGGGTTCGTACTCATCACTGATGGAAAGCCTGTAGTGAACCGAACACGAGGGACGAATACCAGTCGCCTTAATCATTTCGAAAGAATGCTCCCAAGTGGATTCCCAATTGGAGCCAATCATGTCCTTAGATTATCCGTACTATACTTATTAATGGTGATGAGACATGGGGATTTGCGATCCTACGGTGTAGAAACCGAAGGAACACGTGTCACGTGCTGGAAACGTAACCAGTCTCGGGATTAAGATGAGCAAAGTACAAAGCATTTAATGTTGGTTTGTCATATTATCTTAGGAATATCTTTTGAATACAAATGTAAATAAAAATCCCCAAATATGAATAGAACAAGACCTCAATGTTTTCTATAAAAGAAAGGAGAGACAACATTTAATGTAGGAGAAGACAACCATCCCCGAAGGAGAGATCACTTTTCCCATCGAATTAGAGGGGACCGGACCGACTGGGAGATCGATTTGGAAACTTTTTTAAGATTTTGAAAATGGATAGCAAATACAATGCCATACTCGGACGAACAACACCGTATAAATTACGGGCCGCTGTGTCCATTTTTCACTATTCGCTTAAGTTCCCAACTTCGGATGGAATGAGAGTCTACTATGGAGATTAGAGATATAGGACTAGAGATAGAACTAAGAGGAATCCTATTATTAGGGAAACTTTTAGATTATGGGTGCCTCTCAATCTTTTTATTTTTCTTTTTTAGGTTGATTTGTCATAAAATGAAGGTGATATGATTATCAAATTTTAGCATGTTTCAATAATAATTTTTTATAACATCTTGATGATAATTTGACAAATTAGATTGTATTCCTCTT